TAAATTTTTAAAAACTAAAATAAAAAACTTAAAATTACAACCATACTAAATGGAGGCTTAGTTAATTTTAAATAAAATTATTAGTTTTTCCTTCAAACTCAATTGTTTATGCAGCAATATTATAATTATAATATTACGTAAAATAGTAAGTTTATAGTTATGACGTAATATTAAAAAAATGAATACATATAATATTATATATAAATTTTTTAATGAAAATAATCAATTATATAATAATATATCATATTATGAATTTACAATAAGACATACCATTACAATTATAACATTTTTAATTGTTTATATGAACTCCTTAACTTAGGGGAATCAGTTAATCAGTTAATCTGTTTGCTTAGTCAATTTTTTTCTTTGAAAAAATTGGAAAATCATTTATTAAATTTTGAAAGTTTTATTCTTTTTTTTTTTTTAACACAAAAAAGAGTTTTATTCCATTTTGGTACATTTGACATTTAAACATAATATAGATTAACCCTAGGGGACAGCTTGGCGATCGAAGGCAGTCTAAGACATTCAACTCCTTTTATTACAAAATGAAAACACCTTCGATCACTTATTGGTTTAAGTGAAAAGAATTTAATTTTTTTAAAATAAGATTTTAAATTTGAATATTATGAATGAAAAAATAGGTATTGGGAGAATTTTCCTTTTATGAAGTCTGACGTGACTCGATTTTAAATTAATCGGATTCAATATAATTACAAGATATCAAGAAGTTAATACAAAAAAAAACAAAAAACAAAATGATAACAAAAATAATAGACTAAATTATCTGTGGGGGTGGGGAACGAGCTACTCACGAGCAGTTGGGTACAATTATGGCCCTAGTTAAAGAGTAACACAAATAAAGGGACTTCGAAGTCCGCTTACCTTTGGGCCCATTTTTTTGGTTTCTTGGAAAACAGAACCTTGATGAAAAAAAAATATAATAAAACCAGTAACCCAAAAGCCTAAAGGTACTTCCATAGTACCTTGGGCCTTTTATAGTACCATGGGTCTTTTAAGCCCAGAAATGAATTAATCAAAATTTTCAAATTTGCACGAAGTCATGATGGTGCAAGTCTAGTAATGTGTTTATGCTTATGTAGTTATGGCATAGCCGATAAGAATGTTTATCTTTTGTTTTATTGATTAAAGTTTAATTTTTTAAAAAAATTAATGAGAAAAGATTAATGAGAAAATAGTTCTCATGAATTCTTTAATTTCAATATATATGATTTATCTTTGATCAAATGAGAAATTGATTAGTTTTAAAGTATAGATAACTTAATTTAAAAACATCTTAACCACTAAATTTTTTTTAAAAAAAAAGGTAATATCTTTTACTAAGAAAATTTTCTTGGTGCTTTTCAGACAACCAAGGAAATATGTGTTATAATTCATACATTGTAATTAATTTTGAATATAAATGCATTTTTCACTTGAACAAATTAGCTTAGTTCTTCTCAAGAATTAAAAACTTGTGATATGTTTGTTACTAGAAGCAAAAACAATGTGGCTTATAAATTAAGCTTAAATATAAGCATGTTGTTAATCTTCATGTATATTCTAGGGCTATGGCCACTATGAAATAATAGATTTATGAAAGTTACAAGAATCATACCATTGCTACTACTCGAGACCTCTGGATACAATAAATTTTAGAACATAATAACAAGCTCATTGGCATTGGAAAATGATTTTCAGCTGAAATTTGTACATTTTCTTTGAGTAGTAAAAATAAAAATACTATTGTTAGGGAAATTTTTTACGCTATTGGAGGAAACCAAATTAGAATATGGTATTGCCAATTTTCCATACTTTTCCTGCTTTATCAGAAAAAAACATCATTAACCAAATTACTGAATCTGCAATCTTTTAATTGTTTGCAATGGCTTGATCTTAGTTAATTAATTTCTCCTCACAGGTATTCATGGTATTCCCGACTCTTGATAGCCTTGCAAGAAAAAATCGAGGTAGAAAATGAGCTTGGAGAAAAAAAAAAACCTTTGATAAAATCATTCATGATGCAATTTCTTCGATTTATCATGTACTCTAGAAGGTATATATTACCGTTATTTATTTATTTTTCAAAAATGGTTTTGTTTCGTACTAGTTTTTTATTATTCTATCAAATGTGTATGAAGTTCCAAATGAAAAGTGAGTAGCTTAATAGGAAAGAGTTGGAAAGAAAAGCTTGAGCCAACAAGGAGGCTCGAGCAGCGCGCGTATTTGAATCCATCACAAAGAAGTTATTGCAAGTATTGCCAATATTGATAACTAAAACGATACATGATTTAACTATTTTTGTTAATCTTTCTTTTGGTTCTCACTTAAATTTACTTAACTTGCCATAACTTTTGTGTAATATACAAAAATGATATAATTACAATATCATATAATATTATAAATTTATAATAAGATATATTGTTATATTTATAGTTTTTTATTCATAAATTTATTTATGATATTATATGTATTAATTCATTTAATAACACATTAAATTAATTATAATCACATTAAGATTATTATCTTATATGATATTATAATTTTAACTTACCGATATAACATATTCATATGAACTCTAATAATTTAGATTCACTACTAAATAAGTGTTATATTGTAAATCAAGTTTTGAGATCAACATTTAAAATAATTAATTTTATTAAATGTACTAAGTTAATATGAAAAACATGTCCTTAAAAGCATATGAAGAATTAGCCCTAACGTCGGTAAAATTACCCGAAAGTATTTAATCATAAATAATAATAATAATAATAATAAAAACAAAACAAAACAAAACGTGTCCATGTGAGTTGCTTAAATTGAAATGAAAATATGTATTACTTTAACCGTCTGAAATGGCTCCCACTCCAGCATGCCCAAAATTCAATTAGTAATTCATATTAACTTTCTCTCAACCATATCTCTATCATGCACTGGCCCTTGAGGCCTAGTGACATAACCACGGTGCATTCCCCTTCCTCCGGCAGGGTTCAAAACCTACCCTTATAAAATATGTTCAAAAAAAAAAACCATATCTCTATCACTTTTATGGTTATTCTCAATATCCCCATCTTTTGCGTACCCTTTTTAGTTCCGACGCAAGTATCTTCTTGCCAAGTCGCCATCACCTCAAGGACTTGTTTTGGCTATGGTTATGCCACACAAAAATTTGTTAAAGTCACATAAGTATGTGATAAATTTGTTTAATTTAA